CTATAGGATATTTAATGCTGAAATTTAAATATTTCAAACGCAATCATATGCCCTCAACTAATTATATTTTGAGTGCAATCATATGCCCTCAACTACAGATAAAATGTATTGTTGGTCATTTTACAATGAAAATACATATTTATACTTTCATAGTGTTTTGCTATTGTTTGGGGGTTCACTATTTGCCCATCACTGGGACCCTAACAGTTGCTACCACCCCAAGTCAGGGTGGTCCTGGGAACACGGCATTTAAGAAGTTAAACACCTTAACATCTCCAATGTCCCAATCAGAGGCTTTGCTGCCTGGATGTAGTTTCTCGTCATATTCAGGATTAGATTTACACAAGTGAATATAACAAACCCACCTGGAATTTGAACTCAGCTCTCCAATTAATTATTCCAAGCCATTATCCATTATGCCACCTACACATTCAAGATAACAGCAGCTTGTATTCCCAAGTGATCACTGATGTAGGTACTGACCAGGTTCAATGTTGCTCAACTTCAGTGATCGTATGTTCAATGACAGACATAAGGTAGAAACCAGAATAGGATACAAACAAAAATTAATCAGCTAAATTTCTCCATGGGAAAAATACTGCTCAGAAAATATTCACTCAAAGTTTACAAATAACCAACTTGAAAAGAAAGATAAAACGGTGTTCATCTTTAAAGTCAGCTTCACAAAGTCCATGGAAAATGTGTTTAGGAATTTTTTTTCTTTTTTAATATCATCAAATTAACCAATGAACTATTTTCATAAAATTTAAGTATTAAATTGTCTTTGTATCCAATAATTTAATTTCTTCTTTTCTGATCGCTTTCTTTATGATGATGACATTGATGAATAAGTCAACCAATTCTTGCATGGAAGCGTCAATGGCATTGACTTGCATAGTAATGTTGGCAGAGAACAAGGCTGATTTTCTTGAGCCTTTTTCTTTTCATTTGACTTCTTCCTTTTCTCTTCTAGTGGCTTTGCAGTTTTGGGTTCCAGTGGAACACCAACACTTGGTACAATCTTGTGTTTGCGTTTCAAACAATCTAGGCTCAAGTTCAGTTGGTCCTTGTATCTTTAAAAAGGGCAACCCCAATGGTCTTCTTCCCTCAAGTGAGCTCACTGAGATGTATAAACCTTGACTTCCATTTAATGATCAGTGATTCAATGCTTTGACTGTTGGCTCTTTCCAAAACTTCCCATTTGAGATTTAAGATTGAATGAAGCTTTTGCTGGTGAAATACACTAAAAAAGAAAAAATTCTTATGGCATTTGAATTCTTCAATAAAACATTGCTATTAGGATTAATTTTTTGACTAGCTTTTCTTTACATCACATTTTTGTTACTTGTTATCCCAATATTCAGACCATTTTATATTCTATGGTCATTAAGCAAGCCAAACGAATTGGAAAGTTACTGCAAGATTTAAATTCCCTTCCCTTGTTCATAATAGTCATACTCACTGATGACAGATTGTGTCTTGTTTATTAGGCCATAAAAGATAGCTAGCAAACACCATCCAAATTTATTGAATTGCTCTTCTCCCAAACTGGTTGTCAATCAAAGCTACATAGCTGGGGAGAGAAGAGATGAATCCATACCTTTCCCAAGGGTATTTTGCCCATAAGTGAATATAACAAATTCAACAGAAATTTGAACTCTGCTCTCAGATTTCTCACTCCAAGCCACTATCCAGTAAAGCACCAACAGCAAAATTGTCCAAATCTTGTAACAGCAAAATTGTCCACTTGTTAGATTAAGCTCTGAACTTATCTTAGAAATGATTTAAAATATCTTATTGGAATTCTCCAAGGCTTTTTATAACACTATTGGACTCTACTTTGAGCAATAGGAATGCATAATTACTCTCCAAACTTAACAGAAGAATCGTGATGAAATCAATCAAACAAAAATGGCATGCTCATAATTAATTAATCATAGATAAGGATTGGAAGTTCATGAAGGATTGAAATAAAGTTCAAAGATATATATATTATTCTAGGATCCTTTTCCAAATTATCCAAAATGATCTTTGCTTTCTCTAACCTAACTTTCTGTCCTGGAGTAACAAGTTACCTCAAAGGTTTCATATACAATTTCCTTTTCAAGTCTTTTTTCACTGCTTTTTGGACTGCCATAGCTGAAACTCCTCTTTCACATGCCAAACATCTTATGAATTGAGTTGAATCTTTTCTAAGTAATCACTTTAGCTCTAAGTTAAAATGATGATCCTTCTTGTTGTGACCTCCTGATCCAGTTTTCCTCTTTACTGTTCCCACTATTTTAAACTTATTTACCATTCCCTGGATGGATCTTGAATGAACTTTGAAGATGGAAGCCAGAGTATGAATGTTGGTTCCATTACTGAAGGCCTGAATTATCTTTTTCCTCTCACCATTGCTCAGTTGGGATGACAGTGGGTCTGACACAAAACGATTTTAACCCATTCTCTTTTTAGCTGAATAGCTCAAAGGGTTTTTCAGCGATTTTTAGGAAAAATGGTGTTAAGATGGCTAAATGTCTTATCTGAAAACCTGGAAAAAAGAAACTCAATTAGTTCACTGTTTTTTTTTTTTTAGATATTAAACATTTTGTAGGATGGATATTTATGCTGTTACATGATTTAGACAATTTTGCTGTTACACTCAGTATATATCTGTAGAACATAACAGACAAATGATGGTGTTTATATATATATATATATATATATATATATATATATATATTTTTTAAATCAACATTTCTTAGTTCCAAACCACTCTTGATGTTATATGGAAATCCATGAATGAACAATCCAGAGTTAAATTGGGAGGAATAGAAGGTCCTGGTACTTCTGACCATTCCATCAGTCATCAAGAAGGAGGCTTATAAAGATTTAAGACACAAATGTTTGCTAGAGTCTGCTGAAAATATTTTCACAAGTTAATTGGTTAAGATATGAAACTAGTGTCAATGTCAATGTAATATAGTGTGATGTGATGTAACATGGTTGACTTCCAGTTAAGATAATTGTTCAAAATCTGTTCGTACCATGGTGCATTGTCCCGGCATTAGTACCAGGAGGCTTTCATAATTTTTATTTAAAATATATCATTTACTTTTTAATTTTCTTGTTACATGTTGTCTTCAGTCTCTTTCTGATTTTATAGGAGAAATAAAAATGAAAAGTAAAAATCAAATTCCAAAGGCCAATATTAAAAAGTGAATTTAAGTCTCAAAACTACAATTTTTTTTAAAGATAATGAAACTATAAATATTTTATTCTCTATAAACAAATAAAACTGTCTGTAATTAAAACAAATACTATGATTAAAACCAGAAACTCCTAATTACTTGAAAAAAGTATTCAGAAAGCTACTTGACTAATCATGAAAATCTGATTTGGCATATTTAAAAAAGAAAAAAAAACAAAAAAAAAAAACAAACCAGTATTGAATATATTTGTATTTCAATTTGGATACATCAGACACCAAAAATGTTCAGTATAAAATAACATTAAGCATCCTTGTATTTTTAGCATTTCTCAATGTTGAATCATAACCTGTGTTGTATTTCATTCTCTCTCTGACATATAAAATTTCATCAATAAAAACATTAACTGGAAAAAGTCTTTTCAAAAGGACAAAATAAGATGTGTAACACAGAGTTTTTTTTTTTCATTTTGCCATTCAATTAAAGTTGTCATAAAATAATTCTTCAACTCAAGTTTGCATGCTAACATATTGTTGTAACCTAGGGAAGGTTACTGAATAGAATAATCAAATGAAGGTTGGTAATGAACGATAATACTTAGGACACGAACAACACATATAAGATCCGCCAGCAGTGTGTAGAAGAAGTAGTCAACTGCTAGAAGTGAGTCAAGTGAATTCCACAATGAATCTCCAACTGTTTCATGCAGTCAGATGTGGCACAAGGCCGAACTTAGCATGGGGCATCTAAGCCTGTATGCTCGGCCAAAAATTCCCCGTAGACCACGTATAAAATAGGGTCAGGTAGCCGTTTTCCAAGACAAGACTGCCTGTCAACATAGCCTCATCTGTGGGATCCTCTCTGCTCAGAGGCAGAGAGTTTGACCAGCACCGCTGGAGATGAATCTCCAACTGCAGACCAACATACAGTATTTACTACTGTATTTATGTGAATGACCCATTATTGTCTGTAGGTATGCTACAACACATATGTACTTTAACCCAACCACACATCCACCAAAATAATATTCATTACAAGAAGCTTTCAGATGCCAAGGCTGCTGAGAATATAATTGATGGATTATGAAATCAAGGGATAGACATTGAAGACTGGCTTATGGATGAATAAAAAAATTTATAGCACATCAACATCTACACTGGTCATGAATGAGCAATACAACTACCCAACTTTAACGATTTAATATAAAGTAAGCAAGAATTTTGTTATGATCTTTCAATACTTGCCTCATTTCAATCTGTAGAACAGTACAGAAACCCACAGTAGACATTCACCTCATGGAAGATTTCATTTTCACAACATATCCCTATATCCCAGCAACCTAATAATAATGGCTGGCCACTTGTTTCTGAGTATCTGTGTCTGCTTGGGCAGCTAGTCAATCCCAGTAGCAGACACCTGCTCAGGCACATCTGTGTTTAACACCCACAGAACCCACCTATGCTGAACAGACCTTAGATACAATTTATAGGTGAGAGGACACAATGTGGTGTGTGCAACATTATGAAATACACTCCAACTCTTGGTCAAAATGACTTGTGACTATATGCTAACACAACCATAGACAAATAATTCCATCTACCCAATTTCATTTACAAGGATTGAGTCAATCGAGTGAGTGGCTTTCAGGTACTTTCCAATGATGCTGTACTTGGGATGATTTCTCTAGGTCCTTAAAGTAACCTTCCCATCAAATCAATTATTGTGAGATTTGAACACAGGTTTTATGGTCAGAAAGTGAACATTCTAACCACTTGACCATGTGCCCATTAAATTAGAAAGTAATAAAACTATCAAGAGAAAAAGAGAAAAGAAAAAAAAGAAAGAGAGACAAAGGATCCATTTTGTTGATTTTGATTTTAAATGCATCCACTTGGAAAGAAGCCAGTCTAACCTTAACACAAATACAATTAATCCAACCAAATTTTCCTCAAAACAATATTCATTATAAGGTAAGAGGTTTCAGATGCCAAGGCTGCTGAGAATATAATGGATAGATTATGAAATCAAGGGATGGACTGGTATAGATGAATAGAAAAACTTACAGCACATCAACTCCAACACTGGTCATGAATTAGAAATACAATTACCCCACTTTTAATCATTATTTTCATAATTCAAAAGCTTAATTTGTTTTGTCTTCCTAATATGTATACTAGGACAACCAATCTTCTATTCATTTTTTCATACACATGACATACAACTTAAAATTCCAAGTCATCTAAATTCCAGGCCCAAAAGAGAAAGTAAAACAAATTTGCTCACTAAAACTTTATTTCAACCAGTATATTTTTAATGTCATGCCCTTTCAGGACATAATTGTTATCAAATGAACTCTTCCTTTGTGTTTTGTATGTAAATTTATTGTATGCAAAGGAACATGCATTTTCTTTTATAAATTCTGCTCTATTTTGGAGAGGGAGGGCTATGTGGAGAGACACCAATAGTGTCGTTTGGCTCAATTTCTTTTGTTGAATAAAGTCTTTCTTAAGATTATTACCATCTCGTCTTCCTGCTGTTTTTGAATTGCATTTAAATTCATAACAATAACGATCATGGATCTCCACTGTTTCCTTTAGTATTTCTAAATTGCCATGATTTAAGTTAGTGGAGTTATTTCCTATTGTCTTTCCCAAGTTTTGAATTCAGAACAGTCCTTCTAGAATAGAAGCCATTAGCTTGAAGTCTCATGCTACTTAAAACATCATGACCCAGTGGGGGGAGCAAAGAGATGGATTCATGTCTTTTCCAAGTTTTCAGGTAACCAATTCCATGTATTTATAGATGGACACATTAATGGCTACAGTCGCAAAAATGAAACTGTAAGCATTAATAGGTAATAGGCACATTTTTATAATACTGGGTTTTACAGCAAGTGTTAATGGGTTAAGGAAAAACAAGATAATATTAAATCTTTTTGTAAACTTGTCCTAAATAAATTTTTCAAAGAACTTTTCTCTTTTTAGTTTCCACAGTTGAGGTCAATAAGTGAATTAAAAGATTCAAACATTTTGTTAAAAGATCACTATGTGAAATCAATTAATTATATTCATCAATAAAATATTAAGTCTGATATTTTGTCAATGCTTTAAATGTCTCAAAGTGCAAAATTCCATTTCAGCTGTCAACATGCAAAAATCTCATTAAAATTAGTATGAAAAAGTAGATTTGTGATAGATGAATACAAGGATATTTCTTGTAAAAGGTAGTCTTCCCTGATCTATTGTAAGGGTAAACACTGGCGGTGGCAGGGTATAGAAAGGGCAGACACTGGCAGGGGGTAGGAGTCTAAAAAGAGCAGACACTGGCAGGGTGGGGTATAGAAAGAGCAGACACAGGAAGGAGGCATAAAAAGCACAGGGTGGAAATCAGGGCATTATAAATTGGTTATTAACAAGTAAACAATTTCTAAGTGGTGCTCTTGTAAATATCAAAGCTCCAAGGAAAAGAAAGCACTCATTATTGCCATTTACTGATCTCCCGATACATATAATGTGCACATTGTATGGTTATATTAATTTCTACAGATGAATGAAAAAATACATCTGTACAGAATTGGAATGAAAGTGGTTCTGTAGCTGTAAATTTGATTCTTTTTCTTCTGTTGATTTCTCACAGGTAATCACAATAACAAATTCATGATATCAGTTTATGTCAATAGACAGAAATGTGTTTTTAACAAGTTTTAATATTTGAAGGTTCAAGTTATACACAAATGTAATGAAGTGTGTAGCTTATGTGGTATGTACACCAAATTAAAAGCCATTTACTATGAATATAATACAAGAGATAAAATAAACATTGCAAACTGTGATGAGTTTTTTGGAGTGGTTTTTTTATCATTTCACCTCAAGCAAGGCAATAAAGCCACTAAGATGCAAGGGATTACTGAGAATGAAAGGAAAAAAAAAAAAAAAAAAAAAAACAGGATTCAGAGAGACAGAAGATGAAAATTGACATTTCATTTAAATTTTTGAAGATCATGGTTGACATAAAAGCAACAAGCTGGAAAAGAGTCCCATGTGCTAGAAGTGCAAGAGAAGAAATTGTTAGCATAGAATTTAGTTACATCTAACCATTTCAACTGTAAAATGAGATTTTCTAGCCAATCTAGTACTGCCCTTAAATTCATCGAGGCACCAATGAGGAAATCTCGTCAGAACAATTACTATGAAAATATTTATAGAAAAAGTACAGGGAAGATACTTTATGCTGGTGGGAAAGTAACTGATGCCGAGATACCAGATCAAGACCAATAACATTGCAGATTCTTTGTATTACTCTCAGTAAATTGAAATATAAAAACAAGAGCAAGGGTCTTGTTGGTAGATAAGAATTTCTCTTCATAGAAAAATCTTCAGTAGTTTTTCTTTGAATCTTCAAATACATTTTCCTGGATTGCAAAAGGGGCAAGCAGTTTCCAATAATTTGTGATTTCCTTTATTACTATTCAATGATTATGCTCATTCTGACAGATGCCTTCTTCAGCCTTCTACCTGCATATATTTATATATACAAATAGGTCCTTACAATAAATAGTTCTACATATAAACCTCACCTACCACCAGAGTTAAATTAAAAATAAATAAAAACAACACTGTTACAGACAACAATACCATTTTTCCATGGCACTGATACCTGCATTTTATTTTCTTTACTGAACATGCTTCAATATCTACTGGCCTGGTTTATGCAGCTTTTTGCCTACACACTCTCCAGTAAGATTCCCTATTATCCAGATCTCATTCCCCAAAATAATTTCTGGTGTTCTTCAAATCAATTTTTTTTGTCATGTTCAGGATGTGAGAAGGCACAGAAAGAAACCTAATGATGAAAGCAACAACAAAGATTAAATTATTGGTTGAAACAACTCATAAAATTAAGAAATAAAATCTGCTAAATAAGCATTTACTTTTGTTAAAAGATGAAGAAAAAAATTTTTTTTTAATTTTGAAATCATTAATTTATGAGAGGTTGCTGGAAATTTCTCAACCCAACAAAGTTGATATTTGGTCAGATTTCAGGAAATGGGTCAGGCCAACGACTTTTTGGCAACCCCACCATGCATATTGAAAAGTGCTCTGCCTATAATGATCATAAACATCAAGTACCATTTGGATAACAGTGTTTACAGATAGTGATCAATACACAAGCTTTCAAGGAATACATAAAGAAAAATTAGTCTGCAGAATACTTGCTTAATGAATGAATGAATAAAAATGGCTTAGGCATTAATTAGTCTTTCCTTGGAAGATTACCAAGTGAAGACAAAATATTCATTATTGGAGAAAGATGAATACAAGAACAGCACTGATCTTCTGGCATCCTCAATTCCAGAACCATGCATGATTAACCATTTTGCCAGACCAACAGAGGCCATTATCAGTCCTCTTATATGGCAGTGAATGTGGGACAAGCTCCTCACAGATGAAGAGGCTAGAAGCAACAAAAATGTGGTTCTACAGAAGGATGCTGAGAATACCCATTAACTAAACGTGAGCGATGACAAAGTTTTAGAGAAAATGGAAACACATACTTATCAGGAAGAGACAGTTGATATTTCTAGAGCATATGAGGAAAAAAGGCTTGGAAAATTTGATACACTCAGGACAGATTGAAGGCAAGAGGAACAGAAGAAAACACATAACGGGATTGTGTAAATGGGTGGCAGAACAAGGTTTAGGGGAGATAACAAAAAGAAATTCATTAAGAGATACAAAGAACAGGAAATTGTGGAGAACTATGATCCCCAATGTCTGGAAATGACACGGCACATAGAAGAGTCATTAATGATGCATATCTCATGTCATACACATGAAATGTATATATGGTGCCAAATTCAGTCTGATATATCCAAAGTATCAGCTGTATCCAATCACCTTTTCTAATCGGTAGTTAAATATGGCATTGAGTGAATGAGTCCTGTAGGCCTTAGAGAGGACAATCCCTCTTTGAACATTGTGGACTGGCACTACACAATCATAAATGAAAAACTGTACCAAATAATAGAAACCACATCATTTTCAGCAATGGCAACAACTAAAATGGATAGCATATGTAACTTGAAAAATTATTTTAATAGACACATTTTAGAAATTTCAACTGACAGTAGCACTGGCTGTTCTATCAATCAATGCCAAATGTTTCCTTATAAAGAAACAGTTAATATTACCGTGTCTTTAAAGCACTCAGTCCATTATAAAATTAAATAGCAAGTTTGATTGGTCTGACAAAGCAAAGCCTACAGCCAATCTCGAAAATGACTTCCACTCAGTTGTTAACTGGGGCAAGAAATAGTTTGTTAACTTTAATGCCTCCAAAACAAAACCGTCATCATTTAATCATTATAGGGAACCATTTTTGCCTCCCATCAGCATGCCTGATACTAATGTCCAGGGCAGCAAATCATTTCCATTCTCAATCTCATGCCAGATGATATCTGTTGTAAGAATCCATCTTGCAAATTTATAAATCTACCATTTTTCTGCACAATAAATATTGCAGCCTTATCTGGTCTGGTGTTCCTGCTATATATCTTGAGATTCTCAAGAAAATCCAAAGAAAAGTTGTAATGCTATTGGTCCTGATTAAGCATCTCAACTTCAGTCACTTTTCCACTGCCACAATGTGGCTTTACTGTGCATCTTCTATAAATATTTTCATGGCAATTGTTTTCCTGAACTTACTTCCTTTGTAACTCAACTGCATGAATTTAAGCCTACTTATAAATTGGCAGCTAGATTTCATCATTTTACTATTGATATAGCAAGATGTAGTGGTACATTCTATTCTAATGTTTTTTTTTTCTTACATTTCTCACCTGTGGAATTATTGATTTCCTGC